TAATAATATATATATAATATTAATTTGGGTGCATGTATCGAATTAAATAGAATATGACGATGGTGTGATACTCGAAGATTCCGTACCAGGCAAGACTCGGTTTTGCTAAATTCTGTTTCGGGTTGGCAAGCAGATAAATAAGGTTGATCTATTTGAAGACCTATTTATCTATAATACAAATTATAAATGAAACAGAAGCAGAAATGGCTGCCCCGTGATTTAGAGGAAAATAGAATAACATTTCCAAGATTACATAGAAACTATTTATTATTAGTACAAGAATAATAATAAAAAGAAAATTCAGAAACAATGCATTCTCGTTGTTTTAATTAAATCTTACTAAACTAAAAATGTGAAAGCCTGGATTAAAATAATAGGTCCTTTAACCACAAGTAAAGTTACTAACTAATTAGAAATTGCATTACCCATAATAAATGTAGTGGATAGTGGACAGGAGCATGTTTTTTTCTTAGTTAAATTATAAGCTATTTTATAATAATTATCGACTTGTTATGTTATTACTCAAATATAAATGCACCGAAATAAATAAAAAAACTAAATAAATTTTATGGAAACAATAATATTACATAAAAACTTAAATTATAATAATGTTTCTCAGAATATTTAGGTTCTCAGATATAGGTACGCATTTAAATTAATTTAAAAACTTCTCACGCCAGAACTTGGACATCTTAGAAACTATTATAGTACTCACATTTTTCCTATAAACGGCATACAAAATCACAAATCACTTGAACATTTTTTCACATAACATCGTAAAACACACGCATGCACGAAATACGTCCGTAATCACGAACATCCGCCGAGAAACTGAAGAGTGAAGATCAAACTGAACTTTGAGTTCCACAAAGCTCAGTTAGGACTAAGGGCAGAACAGAATAAAATATATCTTTTGCCCTTTTCATTTGCCTCTAGCTTTCACCGTTCATCTCAAAAGCACTTATAGTCAACTCAACCTAATTAGGGAAATTTATGTCAATCATTTTCGGCTGGCTCACGTTAAACTTTTGATAAATTGACGATTTGTAACAACGATTATTTTACATAAGTTCACTTTACTTATTTCTCTGTCTCTACATTCGTCTGTATTATTTATGTATTACGTTTGGTTGCTGTTGCTGTTGCGTTTACTGTATGTCTTAAATTTTAATATAGAGTAGGTAAAGGAGTACCTAATGATTAAGACAATACAGAACGGTAGAAAACCCTTTTTTGGTATTCAATTAGTCTGTCTAATATATAGAAATATAAAAATGACAAAGCAGCAATTTTAATTTTGCAATGCGTGTGTTTAATCATAAAATTGTAATTTGGTGATGATTTGCTGTTTATAACGTAATGGTTTAATTAATTTGAGTAGGTGCTAAAGGAAAATAATGATTCTCCTATGACTTGCAAATTAGGTGGAAACAGGAAAGCACTCTGAATAAATACTATAAAAATACGGCAATCGACGATTGGAGAGGCTGAATGAGAGAATAAATAAATCTTGATTAGATGAATTAAAAAAATGTATCGTAGGTTTCTTGTTTATAGCTGGGACTCTATACAACTAATAATAAGGGCAGGGCACTTGAACATTTTTATGGAAAGTTGTACTTTTGAGCATACTAGACAGAATTTTGGCCCTATTGACTTCAGTGCTACCAATAAACAATTGGTGTCTCTTAGCAAATTTAACGTTTATTTATCGTCTTAACCTTTTAACGGAGGCTGTAATGTATTAGGTCCTTACATATGAAATTGGCGTTTTGTATGGGCGGAACGAAAAGTCGAATATTTTTAAATATAATATATTTAATTAATCAAAATATGAACCATTGTTTTCTATGCACTTTTGCCATCTCATAGGTAGTTCATTGATCCCTTTACTAAAAAAACCAGTCGGACGGGAATCAATAAAATCTGTGAAGGCGATTTGGACTGCCCCATCAGAGTTAAATTTTTTCCCTTGCAAGAAGTTGTCCAAATTTCGAAAAAAATGGTAATCTGTTGGAGCTGGGGAGTACGGAGGATGTCTTAGACATTCCAATTGAAGCTCTTCTAATTTGGTAGCCGTCTGTTGTGCAGTGTGATCTAGCGTTGTCGTGAAGTAGCAGTGGCGTGGAGCGATTGACCAGCCTAGGTTGTTTAGCCGCTAGCTTTTCCATCATGGTTTGCAATTGCTGACAATAGACATCAGCCGTAATAGTCTGGCCAGATTTGAGAAAACTGCAATGAACAATACCGGCACTAGTCCACCAAACGCTTACAAGTAACTTTTTTGGGGTTAATTTTCGCTTGGGGCAGGATTTGGCTGGCTGGCCAGGATCCAACCATTGCGCTGAGCGCTTCCGATTATCGTAAAGAATCCATTTTTCATCACAGGTAATGATTCGGTTTAAAATACCTTCATTATTGTGCCGGTTCAGTAATGTAACGCAGCAGTCGACGCGCGTTTGACGGTTTGCTTCAGTCAATTCGTGAGGTACCCATCTTTCAAGCTTTTTAATCTTCCCATTTTGCTTTAAGTGAATTAAAACAGTTTTATCACTAACACCGCAGCCTGCAGCTAACTCGGACGTGGTTTGCGATGGATCCGCTTCCACAATAGCCTTCAATACTTCATTATCAACTTGGGTCTCAGGCCGTCCGTGGGGCTTGTTCTGCAGGTCGAAATTTCCAGAACGAAAACGTTGGAACCAAAAACGAACTGTGTTTTCTTTTGCAACATGACCGCCATACACATCATTCACCCTTCGAGTCGTTTCCGCAGCACTAGTGCCACGGCGGAACTCGTACTCGTAAATAATGCGATACTTTAAGTTTTCCATTTTGTAAAATGAGTGACGCAAACAGAAAAAAACAGAAGAAAAAAACAAATGAATGACGGTCATCGAAGCACAAATACATGAGTAAATAGCTGTATTGGGGGCCTCATAGCCTAGCGGTCTTATTAAGTGGCAGCTAGGTGAGATGTACCGGGTTCGATTCCCGGTTCGAGGGCAAGTTTTAATTTAATTTAAATTTGTTCTCGGCCTTTGGGAGGATTGTGCGGTACAGGGCAAGTGCCTAAAACCGTACATGGAGGACGTGGTCGAATTTCTAAGGCAAAAAGCACGAATTATAAAAATCTTATACTTGACGCTGGCTAATGCACAAACCGTGCCAGAGCCATAATTAAAAAAAAAAAAAAATAGCTGTACAAATTTTAATTTGGAATTCCTTACCAAAGAGGAGAACATCGTGATTAAAGTGGCCAGTACGAAATACGCCAATTTCATATGTAAGGAATAATACCTTCTTCGTTTTTACATTAAATTAAACCTTCAAACAAAAAAATAAAATTAACCAAAATTTGATACTTACTTAAAATTTAATAGTAACTTTACATTAACCGTTATATATAGATTTCGGAAAAACATATTATTATGTGCTGGTCAGCTTTATATCAAAATAATTGTAAAAAAGTTTTATTTACAGTGTAATAATGCCAAAGCAAACTGGTGGCATTTCTAAAAAAAAACCATTGGAAGTTGGAACTCTCTAATTTTACTTATAACTTTGACACCAGTTACACAAAGAAAAAATTGACAAGATCCAAAACGGCTTTATAAAATTTATCTCCTATAAGACCTTTAATAAGTTTAATGGCTCTTAAGTCGCGTGTGAACATTTTAAAATTTATAGTTTAGACTCTCGACGAAAACAATACGATTTATTGCTACTACATGATATCAAATAAAATTAATTGCTTCAGCTCACTTCTGGAAAAATTGCCCAACCACGTTCCTTGCTTGTGCTTTGTTTCATGTTCCTCACATCGACACCAATTATCCAATAAACTTTTTTTGGTATCGTGTAGCACGGTATTTCCGTGATATGATATAATGACCAATATTTAAGACTTGACTTGTTTAAGCTATCGCGGAATATGCTTAAAAGGAGTATTAAGAATATCCATAGCGCAATCACGTGCATCATTAACACACCCCACATACATACCCTCACTTTTACACCATCACACAACATAGCCACAGTTATTACTAAGTAAAATGTATTGATTATTTTTTATTTATTTTTCCCTTTTGTAAATGTATGAACCTTTTTTAAATACATAATGTGTATTCCATCTTTAGCTATATTTTAGTGTACTTAATTGTTTGTTATTGTATTGGTATATTTTTTGGTAGGATTACTACAGGCTTACGAAAAAAATAAATCAAAGAATCATGATACATTAAAAAATATATCTCACCTTCGTTGCGTAAATGGCTATATAATATATGTATATAGCTTATAATTCTGCTGCTTCTTATGGAATCATAACATCATTGTCGAAATGCTGTGCCTACTAAAGTAATCGCAAATGTTTGATCTAATTTATCTTTCATTTACAAAATTCAAACATCAAACGTAAGTAATCCCTACTGAAATATTACACAAAATCATTTTCAGTCATAGCCACAGGCTTTCTATCGGCAAATAGGAATATTCATCACACGCGGTTGGATTTATCTAATCACAAAAGCGGTTATGGTAGCTCAATGGAACTCATTACGGCCTTTTGCTTTGTTCCACACATTGCTAATGAACTGGAATCTGAAACTTTGTTCGGCAACACCTAATGACCTTTGCAATGGTATGGAAATGCACGATACATATTTACGATAGGTATGGTTATTATTTTGTTTTTCTCCTCCCTAGGTGTGGAACCTTTTTTATGGAAATAAAGCTATGTAGAATTATGTTAAAGCCCTAAGTATGGTTTCGTAATAAAACGTATTTTCATAATTTCTTGGAGATTATTCTAAGCCTCCTTAACATACGACCGATATAGTAATTATTGCTCAAACACATTTTTGTCATCTTATAATTTATACTTTCCTTCATTAATCTTATCCTTTATAACAATTTTCGCTGTGACTGACCCTTTAGTTTCAATATAAGCAAAAAATATTTCTAAGAATTTTATTAAGAAAATTTTAAATAAATACTATCTAGTAAAATGGATCTCCAGTCTCAGTTGTCGTTGTAGTAGTTGTTGACATGGTAGTTACCGTTGTAGGTATCGTTGTTGTAGACGTTGTCGTAGTTGATGATGTGGTGGTTACTGTTTTAGGTATCGTTGTTGTTGATGTTGTCGTTGTTGTTGGTGGTTTTGTTGTTGTTGTTGTCGTTGTTGTTGTTGGTTTTGTTGTTGTTGAAGTAGTTGTGGTCGTAGTTAATGGTTGAGTTGTTGGTGCACTGGTTTCTACAATAGTTGGTAGTTTTGTCGTTGTTTTTGTAGCTGTCGACAAAAGTGTTTTTGTTACTGTGAGTGTTGATGCCTCTATAGGCACAAGTGTTGGTGTTTGTGTTGCATAGGATGTGCCTTCAGATATTGATGACGGTTGAGAAGTAAGGTCTTTAAGGTCTGTTGGGACATCTTCAGTAACCGAAGTGGGAATAGACGTAGACAAAACTGCTTGTTTAGCTTCATGGGAAGTTAAGAGTGGTGTAGTTACTGGCGTCTCTGATGCAGACACACTATTATCGGCAGTTAAGGCCTCATCAGTATCCTTACTTTTTACATAGGAACTTAATAATAGAGGTGTTGTAGTTTGCTTATTCTGAGTTGCTTTAGTCAAAATATTTTTGCTTATTTTTCTAACTTTTACCCTTTTGGTCGGCGCATGTAATTTAAGCTTATTTTTTTTCTGTGTATTTGTGACAGCTTCAGGCGCCAGCGTCAGGACTCGCATTTCCATAATCTTCTTTATAATACTTAGGGGCAACCAGTGTCCTGGAAACCCCGATTCAATCGGATTATCTACATACGCAACCTCATCTTTAAATGGGTCCGGCCATTTTGAAGAATTTGAAAAATGTAATGTCATTATAGATATTACTGCGAACGGACTTACGTACACTAAAATAAAATAAGTTACATAAAAAAATCATATACAAAACAGTTCAATACATTATTTGTAAAAAGTACTTACTTTCAAAATTATTATAGAATCCTTTCTACCATCATCTTTAAAAGCAATCATAGTTCTTGTCGAATGCAGATATTCTCAGAATGTATTTCTAAATTTTATTTTCCTAAACCATGTAATAACTATAACAAACCTACCCAAATCAACGCAAGTTTTTCAAGCATGAAATTGTTTTTACTCTTCAATAACTTTACGGTTATTATAATAACGTAGAGTACATAAAATCATTGAAACAGCCCACACTGCTCACTGCCCAAAGAACCTGCTTTCATAGTTCAGTAGTTAGGAAAATTCCACCAGCCTTATGACAGGTCAATGATTAATAATTATATTTCTATTATCAAATCTAAAATTAAATCAGACTGGTCTCGCTAGCCAGTAGAACCATCTATCTAGTATCTACCGTACACCCTACTGAGAGTCCTTAGTTGTAGTTTTTGCCAGCTACCTTCGATAGTAATGATTTTTAATATGAAAAAAAATAAAAGTATACATATAATTTTTGTAAATATATTGAATGGCCATATTGCAAAGTGTACATACAAAAGATAGACAGCTGAATCCACCCGTTATAAAAGCCACCTTCTAGAAAAAGAAACAAGTGAAGACCACAAAATCGATGGACTAATGACATCATAAAGGTTTGTGGGGAGAAATGGACGGAGGAAGCAAGGAACAGATCCAAATTGAAAGCTCAGGAGGGTTTACCCATTAGGGGTCCATATTGCAGGACACGAAGTAATGTTAATAACAATAAACTAACGTAGACTCAGTGTAGATGTGAACTTTTTAATATTATGCAATTAAAATGGCTATTATTATTATAACTGCTAGTACTCTTTTCGCACTCTTAACAGTATAATCTTAATTTAGACAAAATTGGTATACCAGAATTTATGAAATCATTTTATACAATAAATACAAACAATTGTTTAAAATTTATTACCTACAAAATACAGTTCTATATTAAAAACACTTTAATTGCCCCATTTCTTTGAAACATCTACATATTCTCCATCAGGTGAATCATACTTCTTAATTGGTGGTGTGGCATATGTTCCCTCGATTGTGTATGGAATTAATTGCAGATCAGGCTGAAAAAATTAAATCATGTAACATTAGACACATAAATAAAGCCCGATTTGATTGTTGTGGCTAAGCGGTTTCATAAAGGACCTGTAAGGCCTAGAGTATTGAGTGCAATGTTGTGTGGTTGAAGCGTAAATACTATATAATATATATGTTACGGGTAATGCTAGAAGGTGGAGTAAACCTAGGTTTACTCGGGTTGACTTAGTATTACCCTACTGGGTAAAGTCCGAATAATAAGTAAAATAAATTTAAATTCGGGGTTTACCCATGCTCTACTCAACCCAACCTAGGTCTACCCAACTCTGGCTGGGTAATGTTAAAAATTTGTCTAATTAATTAGTGAAATGAAAATCCAAGGCCATTTTAAACATTTATTATCTGAAAAACATACAAACATAAAAATTATTTATTTGAGCAAGATAAACTGCTGTGACATTTTGAGTTGCATAATTTTCCTGCAGCTTTGCATGAACACTTCTTTGTGGCACATTTTGTTTTGCAATTACACCTTTTATAACCCTGGCCTCCTGATAGCGACTGTTCATTTGCAAGCTCTCGTAAACTTTTTTTTTCTGGTGATATATTTTCGATATCAATCAGTTTATCATGACACACAGAAAACTGATTCCTTGAGAACATTTCCTCAATAGTACCACGTTCGTTTCCTAGCCTATACAGATCACCAGCTTTTTCTATAACTACCATAAGCACGTTCCGAAACTCGCCTCTTCCTCTATCGACATCTGGTATTTGGACTCTCACCGTATCTCCAACAGAACATGGAGGAAATTTTAAATTAGATAAGGCTTTCATTTTCTTAGCTTGATTTTCTAAGCTCAATCGGGCAGATAATCTATGTTTATTTATATTTTGTTGAGTAGTACAAATTTCACATAAGTTTATTTCTTGTGTACTTGTGCCTGGGTTCATACATCTACTACACTCTAATTCGTCTTTCTTTTTGGCCGTTTCTTCTGAATTTATTTCTAATAAAACGTTCCTTTCACCTTCTTTTGTATTTAAAACTTCTGTTTCGATATCGCTTCTCATCTCCGTGTTCTGTAAGTGGTAATTCTCTGATTCCAGCTCTACATTTAGTAAATCTTCTTGAGATTCTTGTCTAGATTCCGGTCCTTCTTCTTGGGATTCTGGACTAGATTCTGCTTCGGTAGTAAATTCCGTCAACATTTTCTCGAGCTCTTCCTCAGTGTGAATATTGACAATAACTTCTTTTGGAAGAGAAGACGACGCTAAACCCACCTTGACATCACTACCGAACATGGCGGTATAAGGAGCTCGTTTTATTCCATCGTGGAATGCCCTATTTTTCATTAATTGTACGAACTTCAAACCTTCTGACCAACGCTTACAATTTTCGTCGTTCATCCACGTCATAAGCATATTTTGTACGTCTTGATTTGCTCTTTCCACACTACCTTGAGACTGACTATGGCGAGGTTTGCCATGTACTATCTTCAGACCGCTCCACATCGAGCACAACTCTTCTATTACGTGATTTGCAAACTCGCGGCCATTGTCTGATTGAAGAATTGAAGGTGCGCCAAAAATACAAAATATGTCCAAAAGCTTATAAGCAACTTCTACGGCTCGTTTAGATGTTAACGCGCGCAGCTGTACAAACTTTGTCAAATGATCTTGATAGACCATTATGAATTTGAAGTCGCCGTCAGGGTTAGACTGCATGTCAATTAAATCTACTTGACAGCGACTATTCATTTCTGTTGACACCAATGGTTTGACAACAATTCCTTTTTTAGCAGACTTTAACTTTTTTTGGCATGGTTCGCATAGTCGTAAATATAATTTGATTACTTCTTGAGTAATATTTTTATATTTTTTTTTACATTCTTTTTCCATTCGATGTTTTCCTCCATGTCCAACAGCCAAATGAGTTTCATGCAAAATATCGAACATTTCATCATTAGTCACGTAATATTTAATTGTTGTCTCACTTGAAGATAGAGGAGCAATCAGTTTCTCGACGCCACTTACCGAGCACAAATCAAAACGCTTCAATCGCCGGTATTGTAAAGTAGTTTTCGATTTAGCTTCTTTTGCACTTTTACCGAATTAATTATTTCCAAATACTGTTCGTTACTAAAGTAAAAAGAATTTAATCCTTTCGCTGAGAATAACTCTTGAAATTTTGTATCAAAACGCTCTCGAAAAGAACGTGCACTCTGTTCGGTCGCCATTTTGTCACTAAGCAAGCGGCGGCGTGGCCAGTGTTGCCAACAAGACTAATGCAAAATTTGCTAAACTGTTGTTAAAATTTAGCCAACACATTACCCAGACAGAGTTGGGTAGACCTAGGTGAGCATGGGTAAACCCCGAATTTAAATTTATTTTACTTATTATTCGGACTTTACTTCTTTACCCAAGAAGCTTGGGTAATACTAAGTCAACCCGAGTAAACCTAGGTTTACTCCACCTTCTAGCATTACCCGTAATATATATAGCAGTTTTATTTCTAAATGGTACCTGTCATTTAGATAGATATTTTATTAGCAATAATCCAAAAATCCTATTGCGAAGATGTGCTATGTTTTCATGTTGTTTGAATAAAAAAGTCCTTAGGTTCTGTTAGAGGGCATTTAAGAATTGTTAAGCATGGAGCATATGGGTTTTTATCAGGTTTAAACAGAATTTATTCAGCTTTTCATATACATTGCAGTACATTTAAATATTTTAAAGAAAAATTAATAACCTAAACGTCTCACAATAACAATTTGACTAACAAACCATCAACAGAACAACAAAAATAAATATGTATCGAAAATAAAGAGATATTGAAAATATACATATATCCATGAACCTTAAATTAAAACAGGTTCTATATCTCACCATTATTGCTTCATTATACAACTCTTCAGAGACTTCATAAAGCTGATCTAGTGCTCTTTTCTGGGCCCTCATTATTCTATCAACTTGTGCTACATTAGCCATGTACTCCTGTCTTTTATATCTGCACCAATCCTTATTTAGCAAAGCCCGATCTTCAATTTGTTCTATTGATAATTTAACTACAGGGCGTCTTCGTTTTCTACAAACAGTTAATTTAAGTTTAGAACTCTATAAAATAGCTCGTACTAATATAGCAGCTTGTAAGTAATGTATAAGGTGGAAGATCCAGGATTAGATTCAATGTAAATAAAATTGTAAATAGATGCACAATATGACAGAAATTTAAATTGTTGTTACCCTATGTTATCAAGAACATGAAGAGGTGGTTCACATTCATCAATTGGCTTCAGTTGTTTTGCATTTTTTTCCAATCTTCGAATTTGTTTCTCTAATTTTTTCCTTCTCCTCTCCTCTCTAGCTTTTATTATAGCTGGATCCATTTTTTTCTTCTTCTTCATAGGCTCAGCCCTGTAATATTTAACATGCATACTATAAGTGTTATATCTAACAAGTACTAATGTTATCAAACATATAACTTTATTAGCAAGATTACCTGATTCAGCTTTGTTTAACTACAGGAAATGATAATTCAATATTTTACAATCTACATCATGTTGAATATGTAAAAAGATGAGACACAAATATACTTATATTTCTTGCTTATACCTAAATTATAAAAGTAATTGACTTATTCTTAACACTTACCATAATTGATCAGAAATTTTAAATTGTAAGGCTGATGCAGTGCTAATGTTTTTAGCAGTTGATGGAATTTTGGGTACAGCAATCGCTAGCCTAGAAATAAACAAAGCGTCTTGACATAAAATTAGAATCATATAAACCAAATTAAACACTTACACAACACATAAGAGGTTATAAAAATATAAAACAAAATTATAAGTACCGTGTAAATTGTTTCATTAAAGATAAATTAAACATTTTATTATAATAGGCTAACTGTTATTTAAAACGGAAGGTTATCAATAAATTATCATTAATATTATTTACTGTAATATTATTGTTTCAATACATGAATCCAAGATCTACACAGCTGACTGCTGAGTGCTGACAGCACAAACGTCAAAATTAAGTTGTCAATGTCCAGGATTAGTGATAGATTATTTATGTTATACAATAACCAAGCCCAGATAAAAAACTGTAGCAAGAACGATTGAAATTAATATTAAGAACTATCTCTGTGATATTTATTTGTAGAATATTTTTTATTTGTGTTAAATAGACATTAATATTTTTACTAGATTAGTAAACTCTGCTGGACTACGAAAATTATGTGAACTCTTTTATAGATTTCTTTGCTTCGTGCATCAGAAGACCTTGTCATCCTTTGAACAAATAAAAATCAGGACTGAAATTAAATGGACAAATAGTTAGCCTAGAGTTTTCACTCCAAAGCAGTAGAAATGTTTTAAAACGTCCTCTACACGTTTTAAGAAATTTCTCTGGCATGATTTATTTACATACCTACTTTATCGGATTGTACCGTACTAAACTACAAGAACACCAATTAAAAATTCTACAAATAATTGAACATAAATGTATACAAGGCATATACGTTTTTGTGACTATTTACAGTCCTCTATTTTCTTTAGTCATTGTACTCATGCTATTAAAGTATTGTAACTTTGGATTTTTTTTCGAAAATATATAGGTATCATTATTTTTAATTATAGCGGTTAAAGAAAGAAATCTTCAAAAAGATTTGTCATATTTCAGGTCCATTTCTGGATTAAGTCCTCCTCCACAAATCAAGTAAAGATACTAAAGTAATCTACCTATTTCTCCTGTAAAACCGAGTAAGACGTTAAACATTTACTCACAAAAAAGACCTTGCTGAATTCATCAAATTGACGAATAGGTAGAGGTTTTAAGCGCTACAAAACTTAAACGTAACTTTAATAGTCACTGTAACTTTTAAACTTGCGGGTTTTCTTAACTAAATATTACAATTTAACATTGTAAAAGTATTAATGCAACTACGTATTATATTATTATTTGCTAGTATCTAATCTAGTAAGTTGATCACTTTAATTTTTAGTTAAGTAGGTGTCAAGATTATTTAGTTTGTGTGGCATGTTTTAAAGAAACAAATTTACCGGATATACCGGGTGGCGCAAAAGTAAAGACCTTATTTGGTTCAGCTATAATATTTTTTCTAAATTAGAAAACTAGATTTAGGTTTTTTTAATGTATATTTGTGCCATTAAATTTCGTACCATTAGGATTTAAAGATGATGTCTTTTAAATGGTGACCTCCAGAGTTGATGCACATTTGAGCCCTAATTATGACATTTTGCATAACTTGCCGTAATACTTCTTGCGATATGTTCCTTATTTCTTGATGAATGTTTTTTTTAGAGCTGCGAGAGTCTGTGGCTTGTTCACATACACCCGAGATTTCAAAAAACCCCAAAGAAAGAAGTCTAGACAATAGACTCGTCAGATTGGGTGATCTTGCAGGAAATCGTCGACGAAATTCACGTTGTGTTTTTATCACTGATGAATTATTCCGTAAGAACATTGACACGATTATTCTCGTTCTTGGGGAGTAAAACGGTCCATGTTTATTTTCAGTGTATTTTATATTTGTTCACTACACAATTTTCAACAACAGAATGAAAACTATCGTCATATAAAAAAAATAAACAAATTTTCTTTAGTGCCATTACTTTTGCGCCACCCGTTATAGGTATTATAATTATGTTCAGTATTTCCATTTTTTTTAAGCTGCTGCTGATGTTTGCTGTGCTTAATATGACCTCCGTTTAACCTCAAACCAAAAAAAAATAACCTAAAATAATAATTAGACGCATAAATATTTAAAATCAAAACATATTTTTTTTATATTCAGTCAATACTAGTTTAAACAATATGAACTTTTTCTCGAAATCATATAATTTAAGTTCGAGTCGGTAAGCTAATTATTATTATATGTACAACTAAATAAGATGTGTTTACAAGGGTTTATATTAATAAGTAGGTAAATATACTATGCATATTTATGTCAATTACCTTCTAATGTAAAGGTTAACAGTGTCGGTACTTTGTATTCAACTTAATAACTTGAACTCTATCATCATTTAACATAACAATATCATAAAGATGGGAGATTATTGTTGTCAATCTGTTTTCTTGGGTTCTCTACAAAATATAATTTAAATAAATTAATAACTTATAAGTTACTTATTACAGGTAGATAGATAAGTACTTAAATAATACTATAACGACGTTATACTAAAATATTCCTTTTGAAATTCTGTTAGACAAAGGAATTCCACAGGTCATTAAACTTACATTAATAGCGATAATTATTAAAGCTATTACGGTACAAGGAACTATTACTAAATCAGGCTTATTTCTAAATTGTATGCTAAAATTCATAGACAGATAGATCCCTAAAAATCACATACATTCACTATATAAATTAACTGAAGTTATTATGTCAAGTTTTCCTTAAGGGGCATATTTTTGTCTCCGACCGCGTATTGCTTATTTACCTAGTTGTTAACAAAAAGGCAGACTGGATGGACAGGTTAAAAGCGTGCTTTCGTGGATTTGTGTATCACCAAAATGGAACTAAATAATACAAGTGAAGTGTTTAACACCACAGTTTTAAATGAAAATTACAGACTCAAAGAACATGAACAATACATGGTATACAGGCCTGTGGCGTGTACATTTGGACTTATTATTATGTTAAGTAATTTAACTGTTGTAGTGTCCAGCGGACTGATACTTAAAAAAGGTATGTTCTTTTATTGAATAAAAACAAACCTTAATACTTTTCTTATATCCGAGGTGAAAATTTATTTACGCATCACCCTTCATATGTGGGACTACTCCAGGCTGTCTCCAACTGAGAGGGTGGCATTTTTGATCAATCAGCTATAAAACTTATAGTCCTACATAATATGAGTATTCGTTTTGCGTCTGTATTTCCTATGTTTTAAGTAAAGTACTCTTTCAGTCAAATTGTGTTTTCGGTGTGATGAAAAGAGACGAAGCCTTCATGAATAAGGATTTTGCTTTTTTTACTTCTCAAGTATTCACTAAATATATCCTGTGTTTTTATTATCACACAAGTGTGAAGGTCATATCACTCTCATGTAGGGTATAGTAGTTCCTTGTTTACTTCCAAGTTGTACTTACAATACTTATTTACTGTTTAACACTTCATAAGATTATTAATTCTCGTTACAAAGTATAAGTAGCGCTACAACCTTCTCGGCCTGGGCGTTCATGATCTTTTTTCAAATATGCAAGAAGGTGATCGGGCTTCTGTGCCTAACACTCGCCGTCGTCTTATCTAGATCTAAGGTATGCCTTTCTTCCACTATACGAGCGACTGTTAAATAGACATACGAACCTACCACATCAGGGATGAGAGGGGCACACTCAAAACAACTAGGCCAACACTATTCATATATTACTATAACAGATAATGAAGTATATAAACAATATTATTATTTATTGAATATAAAGTAACCAGAAAAACTATATGCAAAATTTCGATGTTTCTGCGAAGATTTATTTACTTTTACCACAAAAAATTAAAAAACTATCAAATACCGATACACCCACCACAATACTTTTTTTTGACTGCGATTTTATAAGGAATCAATAATAGATTTATTCAATATGTCTAGTATATTAATAAATCTTCAGTGCTTTATACAACTACAATTTCGTATTGAAAAAGGTATTTTTTCAGAAATTGTACATTTTATTCAGCCAAATATCTTTGACACACGAACATAATGTCACAACATTATAGAACACAAGGACTGTTAATGAACATTACCTTAGTTTAAGCTATTCACTAGTTAGTCTAGTCGACAAGTTGAAAATGGAACAAAATAGAGATACTGCTCTTAAAATTATGTGCGATAGCTCATTGGATCCGGAATGACGTCTAGAAAAATGTGCTAAAAGCGTGTATTAGCACATAAAAAATTGCAAAAGTTATAGACAATTAAAGATGAAAAAAAAATGGCATTTAGTTTTTTGCCAATATTTAATAAACTATTAATATTTAAGAAATTTCAAATAAAGATTCTGAAAGAGGATAAAAAATAAAAAACTCCTAACTCCCGGAACTCTATCTCCATTATTTATAATTTTAATTTAACGCTGAAAATAGGTCTGCGGGTGACATTTTTAGGATTCGCGCGTGGCGTCAAAAGCGACTACGGCACCTTAATTAATTTATTTAAGGTATTGAATATTTTTTTTTTAAATTTGAAAAAATTATGGTGTGTTCTGAACACTATAATTAATTTATTCCCGTTAAAAATTTTACTTAAAGTTAATTTTTCAACAAGTTAAATAATTGTTAACTAACGAAATTTTCTCGAACGACCGTCTTAATTGTAAGTGAAAAAAAATGTTTAAATAATGGTCGTAAAAATATTTCGCTTCGTAGAGCCTTTCTTACATACATACTTAACAAGATGTGCGATAAAAGTTAAACAAATATTTATACTATGTTTAGAACAATTTTTTACTTAAACAAAAACTTAAAAATCCATGTAATGTTGTTAAAAAAATTTTTTTCTAAATCATCATATAATCGTTTTTTTAATAATACAAGATATTTATTGATTTGCAAAAAAAAAATTCCCGCCAGTTGTTGATAAAATTTTTTTAAACAAATTGATTAAATCAATATTTTTAAAAAAAAATTTAACACAACTTTATTACATTAAAAATTTTATGATTTTTAAAAAAAATTTTTCCTTAATAACAATTTTAATTTTATAATCTTTTTTTAATTTTCTATTGTTTAAATAATTAGTTAAGAAATTTTTTTCTAAAATCAAATTGACAGTCCTCTATAAAGTAACAGAAAAAAATTTTTTTTTAATCAACAATTTATTTTTATTAACTTTCCAATTTGTTATAAACAAATATTCAGTTTATTT